AAAGGCGCTGATCCTGTGTGCTTGTACACAGCACGAAAAGTCGCACACCCTCTACTGCCAAAAGTCAAGACCGAAATTGACCGAATGCTGGCTGAAGGCGTGATCTCACCCGTAACAGAGCCCACAGAATGGTGTTCCGGCATGGTTGTTGTGCCAAAGAGAAACGGCTCAGTGAGAATATGCGTGGACCTCACCAGTCTAAACAAGGCAGTGCGACGAGAAGTTCATCCTCTGGCATCCGTAGACGAACAGCTTGCCAAGCTTGCAGGGTCTACGGTATTCACTAAATTGGATGCGACGAGCGGGTTCTGGCAAATCCCTCTCGATCCAGACTCCAGAAGGTACACTACCTTCATAACACCGTTTGGGAGATTCTGTTTTAACCGTCTTCCCTTCGGCATATCCTCAGCCCCAGAAATCTTCCAGAGGAAAATGTGTAACATTCTGGACGGCCTTCCAGGTGTCATTTGTCACATAGATGACATTCTCATTCATGCACCTGATCAGGACACTCACAATAAGCGAGTTAGACAAGTTCTGCAGCGTCTCCAGAGAGCTAAGATCACTCTAAACGACAAGTGTGAATTTTCACAGCCATCAATCAAGTTTCTCGGGCACATTGTGAACAACACAGGCCTCAAAGTAGATCCAGCAAAAGTGGACGCCATTCGAAAGTTCCCTCAGCCCAAGAACGTCACTGAGTTACAACGCTTTCTGGGTATGGTGAACCAGATGGCAAAATTCTCTCCTAACTTGGCTACTGCAACTGAACCTTTGCGAGCATTGCTAAAAAAAGACTCATTGTGGACCTGGGGAGAACATCAAGAGGCATCTTTTCAATGTACCAAAGATGGCCTCACCACAACACCAATACTGGCACACTATTCGCCTGACCGTGAGACTATCGTTGCTGCAGATGCTTCCATGTCTGGCCTCGGGGCAGTACTTCTACAAATACAAGATGATGGTTCTCGCAGACCTGTCAGCTACATCTCACGAGCTCTGACAGATGCAGAAAAGAATTACGCAGTCATCGAGAAGGAAGCCCTAGCAGCAACATGGGCATCAGAACGCTTCAGTGAATACATCCTTGGAAAGCAGTATACGCTGGAGACTGATCACAAACCCTTGGTCCCTCTCCTCTCTACCAAGGAACTCCACAAAATGCCACCAAGGATCCAACGATTTCGTCTGAGGCTGATGCGCTTTTCACCAAAGGTGCTGCATGTTTCGGGAAAGCATCAGATCACTGCGGACGCACTTTCTCGTGCTCCGACAAATCTGCCCTCAGATGCTGAAGCACTCTTCGTTGACGAAGTGGCAGACTTCGCACAACAGGCTATTGACAGCCTCCCTGCTTCACCACAGAAAAATCAGAGTACCAACGAGACTAGACCTGTGACCCAGTGACTGTGTGACCTATATTTAGCTCTGTGCTTTAAATTCTAATCTAAGTCTCAAGAACTCTTTAATTAAGTGTTGTAAACAAGTGAAACTTATAGAGATCTATTAAAATAGACGATTAAGTACTGGGACAATAACTTCGGGGGGAAATGTGGAATAATGTACATCACACAACTCTTCTGTTATAACTGTTAGGTACGTATCGGGATTTAGACAGTACCTTTCTTCTACTCAGTAGTCACTTTTCGGTTACAATGTACTAGAAGACTATAATAAAACCAAAGAGCTTTTTCAGACGTGCGTTTCTTCACTCTCTCTATATCTGTTTGCACCCACAAACCGAACAATATTACAGTTACCATGACGACCAGATGGCGACAGACATGGCAGGGTCACCAACGACGAGAAAGTGTTAAGTAGAACAAGTAAAACAGAGCCCAGGCAGAGATCGATGAGATGGGAAGGGGGCGGTGGCGATGGTTTGGGCATACTCTCAGGAAGTCAAGCAGCTGTAGAACAAGGAAAGTATTGGAACCCACAGGGTAAAAGATCAAGGGGAAGACCACGTAGAACCTGGAGAAGAGTGACAGAGACTGATGTTCAGAAAAGTGGGAAGACATATGGAACAACATCAAGAGGTCATCCCAAGAGATAAGGAAAGGTGGAAAATGTTTGTTCGTGGCTTATACCCTGATCCAGGATGAGAAAGACAATGATGATAATGATTATGAGCATCAGGCCTTAAACTAAAAAGCACATTAAATTTTGTGGATCCGACTGATGCGCTGCGATTTAGGAAAAGTTCATAACTCTATAAACACAATCCTGGTTGAAAAGGGGAAACTGTTAGGGCCTGGACATTTTTTTAGGAGGGGAGGGGTGTGTGTGTGGGGGGGGGGGGTGCTGTGATGTCAAAGGTCACAGCAACAAAAGATCAAAAGTAGTTAGGCCAAAGTCTATATTGCGTCATGCATGGCCTAGATTCCCCCCCCCCCCCCCCTTTATTCATCCCACTCCTTCAGTCCAACACCAAGGGAACGTTTCTCTTCCATCCTCAAAGTGAATCACATGCCAGAAACATAAGGCCTAAAGGAAGGGCCTACAAGAGGTATCCACTACGACCCAGTTTCAGACAACAAACGAACAAAGAAAGACTCGCTTTGACAAAATCGAAGACCTATTATAGGGTTATTCGAATAATTGATTCGGTTTCCATTTTCTGCCGCGGCCAAGCCGAGGTCCTACCGTCCTGGAGACGACAGACAAGGCGGTGACTTCAGTGATCGACCTCATCTATTAACCTAGCATGGTTGAAGTGAAACGTAGAATTCTGGGACATTTACATTTTTGTTGACGATTCAGCTCAGAAAAACACCTAGGAAACTATTTCAAGTGAAAATAACAATCGTAGCCTTAAAAGCTAAAACTAGCAGAAGCTTTACTGAGACGTGTGACAGTTCTTGACTTTTATGAACGAAAAGGTGAGTTCCACTTTTTGAACGTCCTTTTTTTTTGCTATGGCATGAGATTGTGGGGTTTGGTTATTAATATTAATTAATATACACTATTATATAGATCTAGATCCAGGCCTACCTGTGTCTCTGTTACATCTTACTGCTTTACAAATACTGCTAATATCGTAATAGAAAATACAAAATTCACTCATCAGACCTCTGAACCTTTAAAAAAAATCTTAACTGCAGATTAGATTTTAGCAATTGTGATGTCACTGACTCCTCTGCCTCTGAATTCTGACCACACCCATTATTCATAAAAGTAACCCAGTAATAACGGTAGAGGCAGAGCTTACACAGGAATATTTATGTAACCATTCCAGAGCTTCAGATTTAGGGAATCAGTTATTTTATGCCCTGCAAAGCAGAGTAACATCCTGTGTAGGCCCTCACTCTAACTTGTCTTCTTGTAGACTTCTAATAATAATATAATAATAGATCTAATTATTGTTTGTAGGTCAAGAACGACCAGGCCAGGTGCTACCCATATAACTTCCAATTTTTATTCTTCAGAAAGTAGGCCTGAGTCTTTAACTTCACCATTCATTTAAAAAAACAAATTGAAAAGCAAGTTAATTTGAAAGTGCAGCTTGCTTAGTTGTCCAAGAAGATTTTCCTTGAAGGGCAGAAAATGCCTTCATTTCTTCATAATATAAGTTCATGTCAAATACCCACAGGTCTTAATTCTCTATAAATTAGCCTACTTCCAGGAATTCTTATTTCTTAAACCCTATCCGTACGTCGTGTTTTACTATCGTATCCATAGGACATGGGGAACTCGACGTGCCACCACTTTCCACAGAGGAAATTTACTCGTTAATCCGATCCGTACGCTTTGATAGCAGTCTGTCAAAATGATTTTTTGGAAAATACTGAAAGTTTCAAAGAGATCTTATTCGTACTAGAAGTAGATCTAGATCTAGGCCTTCTGAAATGTGAAGAATACAACCCTGGGGGTACAAAATTACCCCAGGGCGTACAGATACGGTTAATTACTTTGTGAAAAATTTGAGGGATGGGCTTATTTAATAAAAAATAATTTGTTTTTGCCCTCTTTGGAGTTGAAAATTAAAGTTGTTGTGGATGGGGTAATTTCCTTGTCTATTTAATTGATAGTAGTAGGCCTAGCAGTTGCGCATTGGTAATTAAATTAATAATTTTTGTGAAACGTATGATATAGCCTACATCCTTACAATATGAATGATATTCTGTGTTAAAGTTAAAAGTTTAGTAGTGCTACTGAATATACTAGAGATCGGACGGTGTGCACGGTTTGAGCTGTTTTTGTTGTCAGGAATTTAAATTGCATTTTTTGTAAGATGGTTGATGACATTGTCAAGTGCTTTGAGTGGAAAAAGAAGATTTTCTGACCCCGTGTTGCCTACTAACTTTCAGTTAAACCTGCTCTGATGACCACCTGTATAGTGAAAGTCACCTGTCAAGGCCAGTTCCCATTTCTTCCTTTGTGTATTTTTACATCATATTGGCACAGGAGTAATGTAAGTTTGACTCAAGTGAAAGACAGCCACCTGTCTTTGCAGCCACTTTTCCCCTTATAATGATGACGGGTGCATGGCGGTCAAGACAATTTCGACTGTAGCTCACATAATATTTTATGTTGTCAATAGCTGCTGCATTTTCTGAAGGTACAATATAGGCCCTATATTATATGATAAAATCTTAAACTCCTCAAAAGAAAGTACGCGCTTGAGTTCCAAACGTTTTTTTATAAAACATATATTTCATCTCCAAATTGGAGATCAAGCGTCAGATCATTCAAAGACTGATAGGAATAACAGGGAACAAGGAACGGGGCAGCATTTAGAAACTGTGCACTGAAAAATGTTTGTTCTGTCTTTCAATGCATTTTACTGATACTTGCTTTACATTTACTTTCCAACCTCCGTACCTTGAGGTGTTGAGGGGAAAGTCAAAGCAAACCTCTTCCTCTTGTTTTTTTGTATAGCCTCTATGGTTATGTTGTTCTTGACTTCTTCTGACCCTCTCTATGGAACATCTTTTCCTGGGCTTACCTCTTCCTCTGTTTCAGTTTGATCTCTGGTTTGTATGCTCTTGCTTCATACTGTCTGGTGGATAGTCTTAACAGTTCCCCAAACCATTTCATTCGTTGTTATGTGTTGCAAGCACGGAGGTGGGCCGACTTGTTCTCTGACAGTCTTGTTTCTCACTGTGTCTCTTCTTGTGATGTTCAGATTTTCTAAGGCATCTCATTTCACAGGCACTGAATTTACTTGGTGACTCTTATTTTCCATGTTTTTGATTGGTAGCACAATAAGATGCTAATAGTCGAGACGCTTTTGGTTTTTCAGGAACACCACTTTTTTGTATGCTTGTCTGATTTTCATGAAATCTGCAGCATAATCAATTTCATCATGTAAAATTTAATTCTTGGCGAACTTCTAATATATAGGGATGCCACTTTTCCGCTTTTTTTCCTGTATTTCCGGTATTTTGATCCTGATCCGCTATTACATTTTGAGATCGAGATAGAATCTATATACAGAAGTCTCCGCCTAAGATCCAACCGCTTATGATCCCGGTTCGCTTAAGATCCCGCTGTTTTAAGAAAACAGAATTTTTACTATACAAAAGTCACCCCTAAGATCCCGCCCTGATACACTCTGAAGGTCTACATTCGGCTAAGATCCCGCATTTCAGATTATAATTTCCGGAACAAAAACCCGGGGGGGACAGCCGATCAACCAAGAGTGAAAAGTTGAGATCAATAAACTGTCCGTCGCGTCAAAGATCAGCCACTATCGTGAATGTGATCACATACATGTTGTAAAACTCGATGAAGCGATACAATGTTTGCCCCTGACGGGATCACACCGGGGTGTGAACTGACCGACACGTTTGTTTTCCCTAAATATCGCACTCACACCTGAGCTCTCCCCCTAAACTTACATCACTCGCTGGGTGGGTAGGGCCTACACGTTCGCTCCAGGCGGGATCACATCGAATTGTGAACTCTTCCCTTACCATTACAGAAGTTGTCTCTGCTCCCGAATTTGTGAGACAGACTCAATTTTAATTGGTGTGTTTACAACGTAATTGTGTGTAACGACAAAGGCGGTTGGGGGTGGGGTGGGGGGGGGGGAACTTGGTCAGAGATGGAAAGCTATACATTTTCGACGGGTAAGGGGGAGGGGCAACTGGATTTATAAGCGTAGATCTTGAGACTCATGATATGATAATAAGTGAAAATGGCACGCCTCATCCCACTATGCACTGTGATAGGTCATCAAAGTTAACTACTCTTTGCTCGCCATACGTCATAAACCCAACAAGCAGTCACGTCATTCATTTTAGAGTGGAGGGAGACCATTTTACCGATTGTAAGCCGTAGCATGGGTCACCATATATTCTTCCCTGGGTTAGCGGTTAAGATCCCGGTTCGCCTAAGATCCCGCATTTCCTTGCTCCCGAGCACCGGGATCTTAGGCGGAAACTACTGTATATGTGCACCTTTTGGGTTTCAAATTGATATTCATATGTTAGCGAGACCGTGACATGTGGATTTTCAGCTATTTTTTAAAAAGTTGAGTGGCATCCCTGTATACATATATATTTATATATATGTGAAATTATCGAAATCATTTAAAGTAAGCTACTCATCTACTCTCTAAAGAGTAGATTTACTAGTGTAATCACACTTCTTTTGCTGTATTTTTTATACTTTTAAAAGGTTTTTATAGACTTTGAACTTTGAAAAGTCGAATCTTGCAGATGTTGTACTTATTTTTTTATAAAGAAATTGTAATTGCAGATAGTTTATGCCTCCATCAACACAATTTTAGATAATTTAGGTTGAAGTGGGCAGCTTTTTGACCCTGCCTGTTGGGGTGAACCTGGGCTGACAGGATATGTCCCATAATATGTGTGACAATATCATGTCCCAGCCAAAGAGATGGAGTGTGGGTGGTTGGTGAGTGCTCTGGTGTGGTTTGCTTCTTCTTTCCGATCAAACTTCTATCATCCTTTTCTCCCCTCTTTCTTTTTTAAATGTTTGTTACTCTCTGGTAACACCTCTAATCTTCTGCCGCTCATATGACCTTATGCAGTTGCGAGTGCCATAAAACTCTACTAAAACAAACATAAAACAAGCGATGGTGATACTTGATTTTTAAAAAACACCTGATCCGGAGATCATATTTTCTGCTTGCTGTGATGAAATATGAAACTGCTACGCCATGGACACTGGTCTGTTCACTTGTGATAGGTGTGATATCATAACCAGGTCATGTGATAACATTTATATTATATCAAGCAATGGACCCTTTTCATGTTATAATTCATTGCTTGTATGTCACCGACACACTGATTATCGTCCTACTTTCACATGTTTTCAAGAGCTGAACTTTGTCTTTCCATTATTAAGTGGGTCACTTCATTTGACAAAGCTCAAATCTCACATGGACCAGCTGTTGTGTTTCTGATAAAGGGTATCGTCCATGGATGAACTTTGAAATTTTTAACTTGACATTGCATATCAATGTCTGGGTCTAAGTTTTCTTTTTGCATGATTTGTGTCTGATTATTTGAACTGAAGAGTCAATGGAGTCAATTCTGTGGTCCCATTGTTCATGTAGTAGGCTGTATATTCTGTAACTCAATTGTACGTATGTTATTTCAACAGTTATGTTTATGTCTTAACAAGTTAAGATTTGTTTCCCATGTTTTAATTTTATGTTAAATCTGAGAGAGAAATCTCAAATGATCCCTCTATTCTTTGTAGTAATTGTTAACAGGTAAACATATTTATTTTACATTAACACCTTGTTCAAAGACTGTTTTATGTCTAGTCCCTTCCTGTCTTTTGCATAAACAATTTTGATTCTGTTTTACAGCACTTTTGCCTTATTATTTATTTATCTTGTCTGCTCTTTTATTTGCTTACAAATTAGTTGTGTGGGATTAGAGGGCACATTTGGTAGTCCTTGTTCTCTTTTCTTTTGTTGTTTCTATTGATCTGTCTCTTTGTTTTACACTTTCCCAGCAACAAATGATTTAATGGGTCTCTGTACCTCTCTTTATGCAAATAAACAAATAAACGATCATTATTCATGTGTATACATCATTCACAAATATGTGTGGGCTGGTGTGGTTGGGTCCTTCTTTCCTGTCAAACATCTATCGTCTTTATTTCTTCTCCTTTTTTTTAGTACATATTACTCTCTAGTAACACCTAATTTGGGGCACTCTTGACCTATACTTGTATTGCAAGGGTTGTAAAACTTTTACTGAAACTAAACCATGCAAATGTCTTTGTGGTATGTGAGCAAAATTGTTGTATTTTTAATAGATTTGATGCTCCACTTTTCCTTTCCCGTTGTTACTTTTCTTCTTTTTCTTGATAGTATCACACTGGAAGTCCAGTATTTATTATATTCCTAGCCATTCTGCTCAGTTCATCTGTCTGCTCTTAAAGTTTCTCTTGTAGTGTTAATGGGGTTGGCCACATTTCCTGTCTCAGGGCCCTTTGTGTCTTGCAGGGCTGAAGGATATGTTCCACAGTTTGGTCTGCTACTCCACACTGGCATTTTAGTGATTGTACTAGTTTAAAACATCTGCTAAGGTTAATTCTCTAAACTGGGATTTTTTCCCTATTTATTTTTATCTGTTTCATCTGGGTTCTCAATGTGCTCAATATTTTGTTTCAGCTTGGTTTCTTTTGTAACAAAAACCAATTCCAGAATACTTGAAGTAGGGGTGGATGCTTTGGTGTGGTTTGCTTCTTCTTTTCTATCAAACACATCTATCGTCTTTACTTCTCCTCCCTTTTTGTGTTTGTTAATAATACCTCTAATCTTCGGCACTTTTATGACCTAATAATGTTGCAAGTGCCGTAAAACTCTTACCGAAACTGATGTAATACTCTTAAAACTTGTCTCGATGCAGGTTTAAGAGGAAGCTTGAAGAGGAGACTTTGTTGAATGAAAACAGTCGTGTAGTAAGGACCTGAAAGAAGTTTTCATCATGGATCATCTGAGACAAGTGGTTGAAAGGGTGTTGGATTCCCCTCAGTTGACTATGACAATCTGTTTTGCTGGCCTGTACGCGACATACTACATGTTCTATGTTGTCAGGGTGAGTAGTGGCAAAAATTCAGAATCCTCGATACATAAACATTTAGTCTTCTATGGCACTTTTAATCTATTGATACTGTTGGTAACATATAAGCAACATCCATCAATTTTTATAAGTTTGTGCATTACTTTTCCTTGTGATCAAAATATTGAATTTATATGTAAACACATTACAATCCTCTGTGGCACTCCGTATAGATCATATGCTGTTGAACACTTTGCCCCCATGGGACGCAGATTGGTGACGGTAAGAAGCCATACCTTTTCCCCACGGGATGCCAATCGGCAACGGTTTGATATAGCGTGTACCGCATCTGTATCCTGGTCCGTGGGGATCAGTGTTTCGCCCTCTGCGCACTGCGTGGGTGGATAGTGTTAATTGTGCAGTTTTTTTCATATGTAAACAACATCCACCAATTTTACAAGTTTGTGCATCACTATTGCTTGTGTTCACTTAGGTTTATAGTGTGTATCAACCTTGTGAGTCCTAAAGAGAAGGAGTTACAGCTATGGATGCATAGCGCCTGTACTGATTCCAACCTTGTTAACAAAAGGACAAAATCAATTATGTCTATCTCAATTTATCCCAATAATTTATCTTATCTTATCGACATTCCCACCAGAAACCCTATCTGGCCTGTGGTGATGAGAAGCTGAGGAAGTTTATCACCAGTCATTGTCCGGTGGTACAAGAGAACTACTGGCCCACCTGGTGGTGCTTTGAGTCTCGGGTCCTGACGGTGCTGCGAGCTGTCATTCAGTCAAAGCCCAAGGTGAACTATGTTGGGTAAGTCACACACAAATGGCTACCTCAGAATTACAAAGTTCTATCTGCTCTGTACCAAGTTTTGAGAAATTTGATGTAAAAGATTTTGAGTTTCACAGTATTTCAAGCTTTTTCTAATACAATTCTTTTAATATCTTGTTAACGACTCATAATTATCTTACGATTTTGATAGAGTAGATAGAGCATATGATTTCTGATCTCATGGTCTTAGTAACTCAAAACGGCCTAACATGTCAGATAGATCTTTTTAATTCTGAGGTAGCTTATTGAAGTTTCTTGGGCTCTTGAATTGACATAAAGGCCCAGAACAAATTGCTTTCACTGGAAAAATTGAAGGCAAACAAGGCAGAGGAGGACCTAAGCAACTTTCTTGGAAAACCTAAACAGATGGGTGACAGGGAAGGATCACAGGATTATGTAGGTTTTTTTGAGAGCATCTGAGCAAAGGAATGATGAATTGAAAACCATGATAGCAGACGACTGTTTCATATCTGGCTCTTTATGATAATAAAGTTACAGTATGGATGCAATATTTGGTTTTGTTTTTAAAAAATATAAAAAACTAGAAAATTTAGTTGTGACTGACATGGAAGACAATTATGAAGCATCCCTTTTGAGGAAAATAAAAAACACTCTTATTCTTAAAGATTTCTTCCCACCCCTCCCCAAATTGAAATAAAATTCAATGAGCCCACGTTGAAAAATGGCTGAATTGTTTGAATTGTTCACTGCTGTTTCCTGTTCATTAAAGACATGAAAACTGTAAACCTCACTGGAACTCCTTGTGGTGACCCTTGATGATCTTGTTGCATCTTTGGTCTACCAGTTCGAAATGGTGAAAATGACGAGATGGTATAGGTTTACACCCCTATCAACACTAGTTTTAGTAAAAGTTTTACGGCTCTTACAACATAGTCAGGCCATATAAGTGCTGAAGATTAGAGATGTTACCAGAGAGTAACAAACATAAAAAAAGGAAGAGAGTTTTAACACTTTTAGGTTATTCAAGAGCTATAGGGCCTTTGGGGTTTAATGTTCGTTTCCGAAAGGACTGAGTCAAATAAAAAGTTAGTGTAAAATTCTTTTCCTAAGGACAATATGTTGGACCGAGCTACGGCTCATACCCCTTAACACACAAGACTTGCAGTTACAAGCTAGATGACCTAACCAGTAGATCTAGGTTACAGGCACCACGTTCGAAATGAAGGTGGCTGTATTTTATTTTTACTTTTTTTTGCCCCCCGCCCCAGAGAGAAGCTAATTACGCCTGACTCTGGAGAAATCGTATTGGACTGGGTGGAGAATGATGACAACAGCAAGTTCCCCAAGGACAGGCGACCCACGGTGCTGCTCATGCCAGGACTCACAGGTCAGTGCGAGCGTAACTCTTTGTGCTGGCTTAAGTCTTTGTGCTGGCTCAGCGCTTTTTATGTAACCTTTACAATGTTAGGGCCTCGTAGATTAGTTGTATTACTCTTACTGGTTGGGGTTGGGGGGGGGGGGCTCTCAACTCTTTGTGGGTGGTTGGCGAGTGCACTAGTGTGGTTTCCTCCTTCTTCCCTATAAAAAATCTATCGTCTTTTATCTCTCATTATCTCTCCACATTGAATGGTTGGCTGTTGCTCTGGCGTGGTTGCAGCATTTGTATGATCTTTATGTGCTGCAAGTGGCCTAAAACTCTAACTAAAACTAAACTAAAACCAAGTTCCTTTATTTTAACCCTTATGATGCAGGGGGCCTTATAGATTAGTTCAATTACTGGATAGTGGGCCTTAGCTCTTTTGTTTTAACCCATATGATGCTGGGGGGCGTATAAATTAATTGTATTTCAGGTGGGTGACCACTGAATGCCTTTGGTTTAACTCATAAGATATCAACTTTAACAGATATGTATCATGTAAAAATAAGAAATCAAGTTGAATTTTACTTTGGTCTGAATAGATTGCTTGGAAACCATATTTCATTGTGTCTTAATATATTGTGAGTCTACTGAGCAAAAATGATGAAATGCAACTTTGGCGCAGAGAATACAGCCATTTTATGGCATGCTTGATACTCTCACAATGTTTTCTTTGACAGAAATAATTTCTGACTTTCTCATAGCATCAGCCACGTCAAGCAGTCACTATCAAACTAAAACTGGACATGTTTTTCACCCCCATCAACACAATTTAAGTTTGAATCATTAAGGAAGTAGGCTACTTTCAGGGCTAGCCCGGTTGAGACGGATACAACATCCCAGCAGATAGATGGAGGTGTTTGACCAAAAACAACTCTCCTCACCGGGAATCGAACCTCATGCCTCCTCGAAGAGCCCTACCATTACACTACAGATGCTTCTGAGGGTTTGATCTGAACATAGTTTCCTCATAGACATAAATGATCACACTTCTTAAATTGATGTCTGTCTTAATTCTTTGATCAAAACTTTTACAGTTTCTTTCTAAACATAAATGAGCACACTCCTTCGACTGTTTAGAGGTGTGATCTCTGTTGTAAGTCTTTTTTTTTGGTACAGGTTTTGAAATTTTGTTTTTCTTTTTCTTTGGCTGTGTCCAGGAAGCAGTGGAGAGAATTATATCCTGCACATGGTTCATGATGCCAGTGAAATGGGGTACAGGTAGGTCTTCTGTTTGCATAATAAGAAAAACAAGTAACTGAGTCAGCGTTTTCTGTGCACATGGTTTTCTTTGTTTTTGTAAAGGTATTTTTATGTGAGAAACAATATGTGGGTGGTTGGGGGGCGCCACTGATGAGTCTTTCTTCTTCACTTTCCCTCTGTTGTTTCTGTCTGTCTGTCTTACTTTTTCCAGCACTGATGACCATTGTTGTGTTGATGTGATTCTTCTTTACTCAAACAAACAAACAAACAAAGAGGAACAATGTATATTTAAAATTTGACTTTATACAAAGAAAGATGAAAATGTGGTGAATCAGCAAGTAGAACTTTGATGAATGTGCCTGCTGCATTTCAGTCGCATGAAAAAAATTGAGCTTATCACGAAGTTCATTTTTGTAGTTGTTACTGTAAAAATGAGGAACTGTGTTTTATTTTGCCTGTCAGGTTGAATGAAGGATATTTGAGTAGCTTGTTTGTCTTTTGACATCAGCTCTTTGTCCCTGAGTGGCTTTTTTTTTCTGGCATATGGGGTTTGAAATATGACTGCCAAGCTGGGTTATAGAAAGATAGGACTGAAACATATATATATATCAATTGAAATATGAGAGAAAAATAATCTGTCTCAAGTCAAATGTGATAATTTGAATTTGATTAATACCTTCTGTGTATCCATTGCCACCTTATGCACCAGTCGCTACAGGTCAGATTTGGTCATGTGTGCTTCACTTTTTTTCTTCCCCTGCTTTTTTTGTTGAATGACCCTGTCACAGTCAATTGTATGGCTGGAATGATGGCGCAATGTTCCTCACAGGCTGCATTGATGTACCTCTCTGTGTGGACTCTGTCATGATAAAATGGAATATTCTGGTCAGCACAGAGAGTTACTGTGTAGATGTTGGAGGCTTCAGTGGTAAAAGTAAAACTTGAGCTTCCCCCATTCCGAACTTATTTGACTTACTGCACACATCCACGGTCTCCATTCTCCGTGTGGCCACATTGTGATAACCGAAATATCTTGTGCGAAAGACACTTTAAACCTATTTTAAGAATGGGGATTGAAATTTGCTTTTACAGCACACCCACACACTCATTCACATAAATGTTGTTTTAAAAAAATTACTTTCAGAATGTCTCAGTTGCTGAAAGTTTTTCTGTCTTTTTTTCTTTTTCGGTCTGCAGAAGTGTGGTGTTCAATAACAGAGGAACTGGAGCTAGCACCTTGAGGGTAATATGCTGGTTGTTTGTTCTGAATGAGAGAAGAAAGAAAGAAAGAACATACCATTTTAGTCATTGTTAACCCCTTTTCTGCTAACCATATATGCACCCCAAATGTTGAGGAAAATTCTATCGTGCGCAATGCGTCACAGGTCACAATGTTAAATCGATAATTTTTACTGAGGCCTATTATAGGAGACAAATCGGTAAAACTTACAACGAAAGAAAGATAAATGATGAGATGAATTCATCCACTGACAAGACCTTCATAGAACAAGCCATAACGATGTAAACAACTTGAAAAAACGAAGACTGAACAAACGCTCCGATTCAACGCGTTGGCTCTGTCTCGCATGAGGTGTGTGAGGAAGACAACACTCTTTGCTTTGTTATATCAGTAAAAAAACTATGATTCTCATCAAACTACATATCCATATAAAGACAAATGAAGAAATGGTTTTCGTCATAGCCAAGACTCGGGTAAAACAAGCTATAACGATGTAGACAAGCGTAAAGAACTGAGACAAGTGTTCTGAGTTGACGCGTCGGGTCTCGCACATTGTGTGTAAGAAAAGCAACACACGTTACTTTCTTTTTGTGTTGTAGGACCCGTTTCTTCTGTCCATTAGTCTACATATATAGATATGATCTCGTAGTTAAAACGATAAGCTTTCAGGGGATATCACTCTCTTTATTCAAAACTTAGTAGATGCTGAAATTATATTAACGAAGCAATACGCGGGTTTGAGCCGCTGTATGACATACATTGACACTGCAGTGGGCGGTGGCTTTTTGGTCCGTAAGAAATATGTTTACACAGCGGTGAAGCGGTTATGAAATTTTCTGTTACTATTTACACAAACATTTTGTGATGTTGTAGGGGTTGTTTTTTTTTGAGTATGTCCGCACAGAAATGAGAAATAAACAATGATTGCTGATGTGTGTTTCAGATCTGGTGCATGAAAAAGAAGAAGAAGAAGGAAAAGGAGAAGAAGAAGAAGAGGAAATAAAGAGAACAGCAATAAAATTAAGAGCAACAATAAGATTGTTAACAGTTTCTGCTTCATGCTATGAATAAATTGGCTTGCTTCTCTCTCTTTTCCCTCAGACTCCCCGCACCTACTGTGCTGCTAACACCGAAGACACAGAGTTTGTGATCAATCACATCAAGGACAAATATCCTGAGGCGCCTCTTATGGGAGTCGGCGTTTCTTTAGGAGGGTAATTATTGTGGTTTCATCTAACTTTTGTGGGCGGTTGGAGGGCTCACTGGTAGGGCCTGCTTCTCGTTTTTCCCTATGCTGTTTCTGTCTTTCTGTCTTACTCTTTCCCAGCACTAAATGACTATTAATGTATTTCTCTTTACTCAAACGAACAAACAGACAAAACATCGAATTTAATGAATTCGTGACTTTGATTACTGCAGTATGGCACTCAGTGCTGGGAGTTGTCACAATGAATCAGAGGAATTGAGGTAGCATCACAATTTGAACGATCACTTTTTGAGTAAAATTTCTTCAAAGGGTCCATATGAAATGCTAAAAATGCGAAGTAAAGCTGGGTGTGGCTACTTTCTCATTCATAAATTACAAGCAAAGCTATCTAGCTATCTGCTGGTTTTTAGTACGGTTTTGTATTGTGTCTGTCAAGGTAGCCCGTCTCTTTGATGTAGTTGTTCTTTACTTTACCATCTATGTTCAAGTTTAAAGGATTGTTTTAGTTATGGGATGGGAATGCTTCCTAGCTGACAACTTACAGAACTTGGCATTTGCCTTTCACAAGATCCTTTGATCTTTCTTTTGGATGTTGGATAACACAATTCATTTTTGAAGTTAATGCTATTCCTATTTTCTTTCTACTCTTGAAATGTACAATAACAATTGTAATGATCTTTATTAATAATGATAATAACTTATCAATAATGATAACAATAATAATAATGGTGATAACTGTGATAGTTATATTACAATTTCAATTTTTCCTTTCCTTCAAAGTTTAGTTGATGGCACTTTATTCGTGTTTAGTACTCGTCAAATTAAAAAAATATAGTGCAATTAGCCTTTGGCATTTGTTTGAGTATAAAGGGCATTTTGTAGTCTATTTGATAATTCCTTATCTGTGATGATTTTCTTATATTGAATCCGCTGCTGTTTTTGAATTTCACTTGACACTGCCATAATCATTTCATCCTACACAATGTTTTCTTTTTGAAACGTCTAAATAGCTATTGTAATAATGATTAGATAATGACAATGATTTAATGTTCTTGATGATGATGATAATAATTATTGTATGATTTCTTTAATTCCTTCTTTTCAAGGTCTAGCCCAAGACACTTCATTTGTCTTTATTTGCTTTCTAATTTGAAATTTTTTTGTTGCATATTCAGACTGCAGCTTTTATTTGATTAAAGGGCATTCTATAGTAAGTTTGATGATTTTTTTAATGGGTATTTTTTTTTTCCTTTATGGAATCCCTGAAGTGGTATCATGTTCAACTATATGGCCTACTGGGGCTCTCGAGCTAGGCTTGACGCTGCTATGATCATTTCCGCACCGTATAATTTACTGGAATCATCAGTCAGTATGCACAGGCCCCTCAATTACTGGATCTTCAACCGGCACCTAGCTAGAAATCTCCGCAGGCTGTTTGCAAAGTAAGTGATGGCTGCTGTATTGCCGGCCGTGCCCTGAAGGGTTTTTATTTTGTTTTGTTTTGTTTTGTTTGGGCTTTATTATCTCTGGCCTGTTGTGTCCCCATTTCGCAGCATGATCCTGTTCAATTACTGTGCTGCGATGGGGGATGCCGCTCGTATTGAGGCTGCTTTGTGCATTTCTGTTGGCTGGAATATTTTTGACGCTGTCGCTTCATTGGATAAGGCCATCAATTACTATTTATTCAACAAGACGCTGGCAAAGGCCCTGTGCTATTTAGTGAAGAAGTGAGTGGATTCTGGTGATGGAAGATGTGGTGTTACTGTCCTTTTTTCCCCACCGCTTTGAGAGTTGGCATGACATCCACCATTTTTTAACCCAGTGACGTCCCTATTTTTGTCCTCTTTGGTTCACTTCAATGGTCCTTTTTTATTGTCTTGAAAAGAAAGGAGTGTTCTTTTTCCTGATCTCAATCGCATGAAGAAAGGATGGACTTTTTTGTCTGTGTGCTAAGCAATCTTTTCCAATCCAGCTGTGATTTCAGTGTTAACACTACTAAATTGCTAATAAAATTTGTAGGGAAACACTGTTCCCCCCTCCCCCCCCCCCCCCCCCCAAAAAGCAATAAAAGTTTTCCTAATGCAATGATAAATGACAGCTTAATAGGGCAGCATTATGTTCTGAACAAGGAAAGTGTTTGAATATTTAAAGATGTGGTGAATTTTCTTTATCCTCCCCGCTTCTTCCCTAATAGTTGTGTATGTATGGAGTTTCTGGTCTTGTTCTTTGCTTGCTAGAAATTTCACGGGATTTCTATCTCTTGACGTATGTGGAACCATTTTGGCTTTTTATGGTTCGGCAGTTACTTCATCTAGAAGTGAATTAACTCTTTATCTCCGTGGGAAGTAAACCCACTACGCCGGGACCCTTTTTTGGTACTAAATCTAAAAATGACTAAAAACCACACAAAATGGGTAATTAAATCAAGACGAGTCAACCTATTTTGATAGTTCTTCATCTAATGAATGATCTCCCGATAAACGAGACCTGTATTTGGCATTTGCTGATAAGAAATTTGATGTAGAAGTTGTCGTAAAGGAAAAGGGCCCGAGCTGCTGTCTCTGGCTCACCGGCACAGGGGTTCTGACCGCAAGCAAGCGGCTCGCTGAAGATAAAGAGTTAAGGTGGGTTTTTTTTCCTGACAATATGAGTAAAAAGACCCGAATACAAAAGTTTTATCTAATCACTGTTTTCGTCTTTTCTTCACCTCGTACTCTCCCAGCGCCCTAGCCACTGCCCCCCTTTCCTCTTTTCCAACCTTTTTGATGTACACGTCTTTTTTATTTTGAATTCCCATAATCCGACATTTAAAATATTAACCATAAGGTGACTGGAGTGATGCTCTAATTTTGTCTGTACTAAAATTAGCGAGAAAACGACTGCTAAAGTTTGGTGGCTTCCAAAGTTTGAGTGTCTTTGGAAACTGCGAATTTGCATGGTTTTGGTGCCTTTGATCAACATGTTTCTGTTAAATCCACACATAAATGTGTTTTTAAAAGGACATAAAAGGTGATGAGCCAAAAAACAAAAATTCGAAAAAATTGCTTAACCGGCTGAAAATGCCTGTTTTTTTCGATTTCTTTATTTTGATGAGCTCCTGATTTGACCATGATGCCTCATATATATATATGCAGTGTAGCAATCCTTAGAAATAAATATACATGGAAAAGTTCAGGTTTCAAAGTGAATAGAGAGAATAGAAATAACAACAGATACATGCTGATTACACTGTTTTAATTACTGATTCAGAAAAGGACCGCCGCGTCACACCTCTGATACTGTTTTTTCTGACAGAGAGCAAAGGGAATTTTTAAAAATATATACAAAGAAAATGAAATGCTCGGTTATCTCTGTAAAAGCAGAAAGCATTCTATTTGTAATCTCATAGGGGAGAAGATAAAACACAGTTTAAAAGTTTAAATATCCAGGGGATAGAAGTACATCTGACCTGATGATAAATATACCACAGGAATAGATGAAGAATTTATAGATATGAAGGATTGCCATAGCTGATATCATCCTTTTTGGGTTGTTGTTTTTTGTAAGTTGTATGTATTGATAACAGACTTATATGTCTTAGATGAATTGTTATGAAAGGTTTTCCTTTAAAAAAAAATTTCAAGATTTTAAAAAAGGCTGTGTATAATTAGATAATTTTTTTTGGCATTATCAGTATTACTGTTTCTAATTTAGCAGAAAAAGAATTTCAAGATCTAAAAAAAGGCTGTGTATAATTAGATAATTTTTTGGGCATTATCAGTATTACTGTTCCTAATTTAGCAGCGGTATGTTCAGATATTGTTTATTCTTCAGGTCAAGTGGGAGATTTTGCTCATGGCCCTTCCCTCTCTCCCCCCTCCTTCTACTGTCAAGCTATTAATTTGTTTTATTCTCCACGGAGTTCGCTGTTAGTGTTACCTGTGTGTTTGCTGTGTTTCACATAGACTTCGTAACAGGGGTCTCTAACTTTCGGCCCACAGGACAATATTAAAACACTTTTTTATGTGGAATATCTCATGCTGCTCACTAAGAATCTACTGCTGCTGCCCCCAAGTAACTTCAGGGCTAACCGTCATTGTCAATTGGGCGGAATCATTATGATTTTTGTTCAATTTTACGAAAATACGATTGTAACATCCTTGATTCTGATTTCTAAGAATGTATTTGCGGTTTGGCTACCACAACCCATCTCCACCCTCCCGCAGTATAATGAAAATGATCAGATCCTGATAGCCTGCGTTAACTCACTACATCATGTATAGCTAACACCATATAGGCACAGAAGGCATTGTACTATTGTTGCTCAGTGGCATTTTGCCCTTAGAAAAGCTTTTGTAATGCCAAAGCCAGGAGAAAAGTAAGCATTAGTTTTACTAGGTGTTAACCCTTTGAGCCCTGACCTCTTGAGGCTACCGTGCCCCTCTGCCTGAGCTCCTCAGCGATATATTACTATGACTCAAACGTTCATCAGAATCACATTCCATTTCCCACTCAGGGTAGTCCTTGTCATTACCAGCATCTAATTTAGGAAGATCTTCAAAATAATCAATGAACCCCCCCTGGAGTGCCACTGACTGAAGTGTCTTTAGGCCCTTCCCAAAGGGGGGACATTAACATGTTCTTTTTGCAAAGTAGAATTTTAAATGGGCTGATTCATCAATGTGATGCTCATAACTGTGCCTGAACTGCAACGGGGAACTGCTGCTTTTTCTTTCCTAATCCTTACTATCGTCAGTTTTCCTCGACTTCTTTTGTATGTTTGTCACACTCTTGTGAACTGCTATTTCCAGGGTGCCTTGATAGTCGAAGCAGACTTTGTGCTGTTGAGGCTAGAGAGGTGAGCAGAGTAAGCCTGATTCCCTGTATGGACTTCTCTGTTGACATCCACTCCTTGGCACTCATATGACCTTATGCAGTTGCGAGCGCCCTAAAAACTTTACTAAAACTTAAATTAAAAAAGTAATCAATAACGTCTTAAGTAGTAAATGCTGTTTTCCGTATGCGTTTTGTCACAGGCGAGCTGGGTTGGGGATCGGGTCTCGCTCACTGCTGTAGCGGTGGCTAGGCATACGGGCAGTTTTAAGCGCCACCGGTGTACCGTTGGTAAGGGCTCAAAGGGTTAAAAATTACCTGTGCTTTGTCTAGACTAGTGAGAGAATTTTTAAAAACAGGATCATTGTTTGAAACAATCATCTTGTGTGTACAGTATTGTGTGTAGTGATGCACAATCTAGATCAAAGGCCTGTGACGCGTCCTGTCAGTTTTCTTTTGTTTTTTGCAAGAGTCAAGGAGACAGCTAATAACTACCCCGTCTCTTCCCCGACCCCACCCACAGCCCCTTTGTTTTTCTTGTCTGGATAACTGGAATGATTGATTGATTGATAGATGAGCCTCTGAGGCCTCTTTGATTTCATGGCGCTTCTGTTTACACATTACATCCATCTTTAAACCTACAACAACAACCTCTGTCCTTGACTCTCCAGGGAAAAAGACAGTCCCTCACCATGGAAATACAAAGTTTAAAGCCAGACATTTTTATTTGTTTATAACTAAAACATGTCATGCAGGTCGGAGGGCAGCCCTGTTATTTGAGTTTGAGACCCCTGGTTTATAAAATTTCAGCACGAAAAGTGTTGCATGATAGAAGAACTGATCTTTTTCTGCATGAGTTTTAATTAAAATAAAAGTATACAATGTATGTGGTATTAAATATTTAAATAATGTCAATGCTAGTGTATTTTTGTTCTGTTTTCATATTTGCATTTTCATTGCAGTGTGTGTATATGTATATACATAATTTCCATTTGTTACATCGGTAAATAGTTATGATAATAATTATTAAGAAAAAAATATGCTCATCTTTTGTATGCTTAGTGCCATAAACCTTTTATAAAATCATGATTTGGAGAACAAACAGCATTGCTCTATGTGTCCTGATTTCTCTTGCAATTTCCATTGGAATTAAAATAAAAAAAGAAGACCTAATGTGATGGACTTATAAAAAATGCTTAATGTTTTTTATGCATCATGTAGTAGTGGGTGGGTGGCTGAAGGGTGCCACTGGTAGATTCTACTTCTTTATTTTCCCTCTGTTGCTTCTATCTGTCTGTCTCACTTTTTCCCAGCATTATGTTGTGGATGTGCTTCTCTTTATTCACACAAACAAAAAACAAACGAACAAACAGACAAGCAATATAATGTATTTATCATTTATGGAGTCAATAGGAGACTGTCTTGCAACAGAAAAGCTTTCAGTACTGAAGACAGACTTAAAAATCCCTCCCCTCCCCCCCTGCCCCCAACTGTTTCTGTGTCTACTCATTTTCATTCCCCTCTGTTCTTTAAGAATTATTTTCCATTACTAGAATTTATTTTTATAAAAATGTGTGTCTTTTGGGTACCTTACACCAGGCACCATCACTGTAAAGGTATAGTTTTACACTTTTTAAGTCTAGAAGTGAGAGTGGCCAGCTGGTGTGATTTGCTCCTTCTTTCCTATCAAATTTCTATTGTCCTTATCTCTTCTCATTTTTTTTTTTTTGTGTTGTATGTTTCTCTCTAGTAACACCTCTAATCTTCGGCACTTATATAATCTCATTTTGTTGCAAGTGCCGTAAAACACTTACCGAACGAGTCTGGAAGATTAATCCATGTAGTCCCAGATTAAGTAAAAGTAAAGAATAACAAACACCCCCTCCCCATCCCCTGCCTTTGCACACCGTGCAGATCACATCCTGTTGCTTCCTGTCTCTGTAAGACATAAATGTGAGTGGGTGGTTGGCGGGTGCTCTGGTGTGGTTTGCTCCTTCTTTCTTATCAAACATCTATCGTCTTTATCTCTCCTCCTTCTTTTTTTATGTTTGTTACTCTCTTGTAACACCTCTACTCTTCGGTGCTTATATGACTTTAATGTGTAGCAAGTGACGTAAAACTCTTACTAAAACTAAAGACATAACTGTGACTCTCACCGTAGTATCTATTGTTGTGCAATAAGCAAGCAGTTCAAACTGGGAATGGTGGCTTACTTTTCTGGTAATTGCAACCCTTCTTCTTCTGTTCTATCAGTGACATAGTATGTCGCTGCTAGTTGCTAGTTTTCTTTCTTTTTTCTGGAAAAAATAGAAATTTAAACCATACTTTTTTTCTAGAAAAAAATGTTTCTAGATGAAAAAAAAAAAACTTTTTGTTTAAAATTTTGAACCTTCCTTTATTTTCATAATAAAAAAATCACAGCTGTTTTATTTTGTTGGTTTTTTTACTGGAAAAGAATTTAAATTTTACTTTTTAAAATGAAAATTTGAACCTCATGTTTTTCTCTCTCTGCAGAAATCTTGCTTTATTTGAAAACCACTTGGGCATTGATACAGCGCATGTTTTACGAGTAAGTATCACTGGTGCTTTCGTCAGTGAAGTCTGGTTCATAGTTGGACTTTTTGCCATCACATGCACACGCACACACCCACAGGGTGGGTGGTTGGCGGGTGCTCCGGTGTGGTTTGCTTCTTCTTTCCTATCAAACATCTATCGTCCTGATCTCTCCTCCTTCTTTTTTATGTATGTTACTCTCTTGTAACACCTCAAATCTTCGGCCCTTATATGACTTTATTGTGTTGCAAGTGCCGTAAAACACTCACTAAAACTAAAACTAAAAACACCCACAGGCATACACGCACTCTCTCTCTTTCTTTCTCTCTCTCTTTCTTTCTCTCTCTCTCTCTTTTTTCTCTCTCACTTTCTCTTTCTCATTCTCTCTATGTCTTTCTTTCTCTCCCATGCTTTCTCCCTCTGTCTTTGTCACTCTCTCTCTCTCGCTCTCTATCTTACAGTCTCTCTCTTTCTCTCTCTATCTTACAATCTCTCTCTTTCTCTCTCTGTCATTCTCTCTCACTCATGCATTCTCTCTCTATCTTTCTCTTTCTCTCCTCTCTCTTTACCTCTTTTTCTATAAATATATATCTATCTCCCCCCC